CTGGATTACAGTTGTGAAATATACCTTTATACCAATAAAAAAGTATTGATTTATAATACTTCACGACTGTAACTTAAAACATAACTGATCGTGTCTGCAAAAATACCTTGCATTTCTTGAAAACACCCGTTTAAAAGAAAATATCAACTGTCATTATTATCAGTCTACATTGAGTACAATTCACTTATGATATTACGATGAAATTCTGACAAAAGTATACAAGTGTATCACTTATTTTAAATTATTAGCAAATTTGGATATAAATCAAGAATAAGACTCGATGCCGTACGCACCAAAGTTATATGGGGGAAGTACTTCAAGCTTTATTTTTTCCCAAATATTAGTAATCCATCCAAAACATACTTGGGTTTTTGTTAATGCGAAGACAATATTTCTATATTTCTTGATGTGTTCTATTGAATGATTAGTTATCATATTGTCCCCACAAACCAAAGATAAAAACGACAGCAACCATATAATTTAACCATGAACCAAATTAATGTAATTTACATAATACTTATCCATGCCTGTACAATTGGTGTGTCCTACACAGGTAGGAAAAATGTATTTTATTACTTGTATGCTCCGCATTGCAATATTGAAGTAGGAAGTTATCTACACATCCCTCTAGCTCATCAAAATTCTTAGGAATCATTGGTGCTATGTCACTCTTTAATGTTCCAACAAAATTTTCTGCCAACCCATTGGACTGAGGATGACGTGGTGCTGTGTACAAATGACGACAACCTATATGTTTGAGCCAATCTTTGAAGTTCTCACTGAAATGAGTACCATTGTCAGTAACTAAGACATCTGGAATTCCTTCTCGACTAAAAATCTTGCTCAACGCTCTGTGAGTGAATTTCGCATTAGGACTATCTGTAATTATAACGTCTGGCCATCTAGAATAAGAATCCACAATAATTAAAGCATAGTATGAATTTAAGAATGGACCACAGTAATCCACATGAATACGCTGCCAAACCTCACAAGACGCAGACCACGGTTTCCACGATTACTTCCCATAGGACATTTTATGCAAGCAGCTAGAACAGCTTTTTGATCTTTCGCTAATGTCAGCATCACTTTCCGGCCGTCAGCATGTTAGGCGGGCTAATGATTTCACCTTATCAGCTCCCAGATGAGCAGAATGAAGATTATCCAAAATCGCAGATCTTAATGTCGGAGGAATAATAATTCTGTCATTCAGACATAGAAATCCTTCAGGATGGACTGAAATCTCATCTCTTCGCTTATAAAAGTCCGGAAATCTTCGCTTACACTGAATATTCCAACCTCTTTATAATGCATTCGTAATATTTCTGAGTATCATTTATAAGTCGAACTCTATCCACAGGTAACGGCTGGACTAACAAACAATCAGTGTCTCTAGCAGCATTTCCAAATAATGAACGGCGAGATAAAAAGTCTGCATGAGATATATCCTTAGCCGATCTGTGTTCAATAGTGTAATCATATGCACTTAGTTCTAAACTCCATCTTTAAACCATAGCAGCAGATGATCTATTCAACGATTTTTCTGGATTGTAAATGAATTTCAAAGCCTGATGATCAGTAACTATGTGAAACTTAGTACCAAAGAGATACTTGTACAAGCGTCTTATTGCTCATGCAACTGCTAGAGCCTCTTTCTGGGTTTATGAATACCCTTATTCACTCTTGCTCAGACGTCTTGAAATACAAATAACAGGTTGTCCATTTCGCTCAACTACTGCAGCTATACCCATGGGAGAAGCATCTGTATTGAGAACAGGCTTATCTTTCGATGGGAAAGGTCTTAAGGAAGCTTGTTTATTAAGAAACTCCAAAGTTTTTCTCAAGGTATCCTCATGTTATTGTTTGCACTTAAATTGTTTACTGGAGACAATATCAAAAAGTGGAGATAACAGTTGAGTGAAATTGGGAATGAATCTGGAGTAAAACGGAAGAGTATCAATCCGTGATTTCAACGAAGACATATTATCAGGTGAAGATGCTTGAGTGAGGGGCGCCAAACGACTAACATCAGGTCTGAAACCCTTGGAGTCTACTGAGTATCCTAAACACAATACAGACGACAAAGTAAAACGATATTTAGACGGATGAACCAGAATATTTTTCTCAAAGAAACGACCGAACAGTTTTAAAAGACATTCATTATGCAATTCGGTGTTCGGACCATGAACTATAATATCGTCTTGGTAAGACTCAACACCATCTAATCCATATATCATCTGATTTATTACTTTTTGAAATATTGCAGGTGAAACCTTTGAATCAAAGGGCAATAACTTATACTTGAACAATCCAAATGGAGTATTAATGGTTGTTAATGCACTAGAAGCTTCTTCAAGAGGAATCTGCAAATAAGCATTTTGAGATCTATTTTGGAAAAGTGTTTTGAGCCATGTAGCTTGTAGAGAATGTCTTTGGTTTCTAGCGTAGTGCAACTTTGCAGTAGTAGACGACTATTGAGTGTAAGGCGGTAGTCACCACAATTTCTCGGTGTTTTTCCATCAACCTTTAGTGGCGTCACAATGGGAGTAGCCCAACTCGAAGATTCAACTGGCATAAATAAGTATGCCCTGTTCAACCAACTTGTCTAACTTTTTCTTAACTGCATCTCGCAAACCATATGGAATTAATCAGCGCTTTAGGAAGACAGGATCACCCTCTATTTTAAGGTGGATGGGCTTAATCTTCATGCCACCTACACTCTTTGAACATTGGAGAACTAATTCGCTGAGCAAAGATTCATCAAACAACTCAGTACAAAGTGAGATTTCGACATTTAACAATCTAAGGGCTTTTAATCCCAATAAAGGTGGACCATATTCACTAACAAGAAAGGGGATATTCACAAAACTACCATTGTCTGGTTTCAAACAAATGTTAGTAGCGCCAATAAGAGGTAGTTTATGACCAGTAATACCTGCAATCGAACTAATAGTAGGGTCTACCTGGGCATGCTTACAAAGCGATAGTAAATCCTTCTTAGAAATTATAGATTGAATACTCCAAGTATCAATCATCAAAAAGGGAGACTTGCCTGAGCTTGTAGTGAAGGTTCTCATTAGATGAGATTCACTGCTGTGAAAAATTGAAAGAGATATTGATCGCATTTTACCAGACAGTTTGGGAGAATCATGAGAATTCTGAGTAGCATAAGTATTTGAACTTCTGCAAACAGACTTGATGTGCCCAATTTTACACATTTATGGCACTTAGCACTCCGAAAACGGCAAGTGCTTCGTAGATGAATCTTTCCACAGGAAAAGCACGGTTTGATGTTTTTGCACTCTGTCTGCATTTCATTACATGTGGACGACAGTTTGGATTTCTTTCTTTGAACACTTGTATTATCAACTTTGGACAGCATGACATTAGACACCGACGTGGTGGGAGGTGGGTATTCACAGTTGACATCTTCATATATAATACACAGATCCTTAGCAGTTTGAAAGGTGCAGGAAGGAATCTGGACCAACTCTTTCTCTAGCTTAGGAATATTGGTTCCAGCAATTAGACGATGACGTAGTTGAGTATGCAGCTGATCTCCGAAGTTGCACTTTGAAGCTGGTATCTGAAGAATGAAGTTTCTAATCTTTCGGTTGGCAGCACGAACAAGTTTGTTGAACTGAGCCCTCTCTCGTGTTTCGAAAGTTGTTATGTAGAAGTGATCTGTTAAAAATTCACGGAGTCTATCATGTGGCAGAGAAATTGGTTTGTCTGAAAATGACAGAGTTTTCACTAGGTTGTACGCATCTAGCCCAATAGCAGTAATAAGACGAGCTGGAATTTTGGTCATCGCGAACATTCTTCGACATGCACCATGCGTCGAAACATTCAAAATAATCGGCGATGAAGCATTCATAGGAAACTTTCCAAGATTATTTAATTCCATAGCGACGCCAAAAAGTTGTAATTATTTTTAATAGCATTACGTATGTCGCAATGACCAAATTACAGGAATTCAACCAAAAAAATTAGAGAGGAATGAATTTACGAATGTGTATTTGGTGGAATTCTTTCAATTCATATAACAACAGTAAATAATTAAACAATACAGAAATAAAAATTGTCAATCACCGCAATTGCTTAGCTGGCTACGGATCGTGCACGAACGTGACACGACGGAGTACCAAAGGGTGTGGAAGCCTTCATCTGGACAAGTGGACTTAAACAGTGAGGGTCAGCATCCAATGTTCAGTGATCAGTGCCGTGGTCTATAATTTTGGGGAATTATTTACCGCTACATGTTTAATGCATGACAACAAACAAAACAAACAGTAATTAATTAAATGAGGTTGATTTTTCTTTGCAGAGACTATGAGCATATATTTCTACGCATAAAAATACATAACTATGTACACAGTCATTAGTGAGTGTTTAAATAAATAAGAATAAAAATAAGAAATTTTTTGATTATCTTAGATAACTGTTATGTAGCTAATGTACGAATAAACAAATAATAGTGATAATAATCAATTTTTATAGTAACCGTGACATCAAAGTGAACACTAATGGTAATAATCATGATAATGTCTGAACGAGAAAAATTTAGTTGTTTAGTTTGTTCTACAAAATGAACGTGGCGGGTAGGTTTACCGATCTGCTGATCAGATCTGTTGGTTATCCCCTGGTGAAGCTTATGAGTTGCTGTCACTATCAGTATATTCTGGTTTAAGTTTATCAGGAGAAGTAGTTACCGTTTTACCGTATCTGTTTAACGTCAAATATTTATCCGCAAGGTGAAGTACATGGAAGGGTACTTCATATGGAGGCTGTAACCCGTTTTTGACGCCATCGACTCGTATAAACGCGAGCATCTAACAAAAACAATCAAATTTTCCAGACTCCACACCCTTCGTTCTAATGATGCGCTTTTAGTTGTTCTACAGTACTTGGAGAGACACGTATTTCGCACTAGAATCTACAGGAAATCTGAAACTCTTATGGGAAATTCAGAGTAGAGTGGCAAGAAATCTACAATTTATTTAATGTTGTTACGAAGGTATTGCTTATTTGAGGCAAAAAGCGCACTTTTCGGAATTTACGCTACAATTCCAACAAAAGATGGTAAGATAAGCCTGCATAGATTTTCGCTACTTCTGAACACATGAAAATTACGTTTGAAGATAAATAGGGGCATTTTTAAATAATTTCAGAACAACGGATCAGTATAAGCACAAGTAAAAATGTACCTCATCTAGAGTACTGCATACAAGCGGCGAGTCCATGCTTCAAAAAGGAGGCACATACCCTAGAAAGAGTACAGAGAGTAGGAACAAAATTAGTTAGTGTTATCTCACACCTTCCTTACGATAAGAGGATGGAGCATTTAAATCTCTTTCCATTATCATACCGAAGGAGGAGAGGCGACTTAATTTTGGCTTACCGTATATTCGAGGGTGATTTAGGGATTGACCTTTCAAACCGTTTCTCTCCCTCTAGGATACATTTACGGGGTCACCAGAAGAAGGCGCTCAAACCAAGGTCGAATAAAATACGTTTGAAGTTTAGATTCTCTCACAGAGTGGTCAACGACTGGAACTCCTTACCTGATTCAGTAGTAACAGCTCCATCGGTGAACGCTTTCAAAGAGAAACTGGATCTCTGCAGAGATATATATCGGGAGGATTAACATAGGCAACAAGAGCCTTCTATCCTTATAATCTGAATCTGAATGATATGCAATGTGAAAGAATATTCTTTCACATGTATATACACGTAATTGGTATTGAATTAGTCGTTTTCTCTGAGCTGGTTGATTTAATTGCAAAGCTTTTATAGTCCTTCTAGATTAAATCTTCAGAACAGGTTTTAGTATAGAGTAGACATTCATGAATTTGCAAATTCTCCCCGAATGATATAATTGTATCTCCTGTGACCACTGTCGTGACTGGTTAATAATTTACGTCTCTATTGACCATTTTTACTGACTTGGAATTCAAAATTTCTTGTCATGTAATTTATTCTTTATTAGCTGGTAATTTTGGTCTATAATTATGTGTGTGTTAATTGTTGATTCTTCTGAGTACCAGACTATAAATTCCCTGGCATTTTTGGTGTTGCTTCTATTTAAAATTTCCACATTATCCCAATCACGTTGGTGCCCATAATTATCTACATGCATTGATACGAAAGAATATATATCATGTCCTTTTACAGCCAATTTGTGTTCTTGGATTCGAATTCTCAGAGGACACCCACCTCGATCCATGTAATTTTTATTGCAGTTCATACAGTTTATTTTGTAAATGGTATTAATTTCATCTTTTTTTGTTGGATCTTTTGGTTCGCATATTATCGAATGAAATAAAACGTATGCAGGGAATAGGTAAGAGATGACTAGTATATCCGAATCTTCTTAGAATTTTTCACTGGTAAAAGAAACCTTTGGTTAGGAATCGTGAAATTTTTTCTGACTTCATTACTGAAGTTGTGTTGTTGTTTACTACAATTATACCAGCGTGTATTTAGGGTTCGCTAAGTAAATAAGCTGTAGGACAAAAGTGGTGTTTAATGAGACAGGTCAAGGCAGTCGAAACTAGGGATTGGGTTAGAAATGGGCATTTTCAAAGGAGCGTGGTGGGGCTTTTTCCCGATTTTCCTAAATCTCAGTTAGTTGGCATGGAAACGTGTGAGTGAAATGAAATCAAAACAAACGGCTGTTATTGTCCTCACCTAATATGATTAAGATCGGCAGTTAGGCAGTCCACATTCATCTGTGCATGGTTAATACTAAGATTGTAATTTGAGATTATTTACTATTCATTTTTTAATGTTGCCAGTAGGTAGCTTCTTGTGTTGACATCAAAGATGATGTCAATGCAGGCATGACCATGAGATACCAAGAATGTCGTGGATATATCCTTTATAAGTGGAATGCTTAGTTGTGTTTTAATTCTAGCCTCGTTTGAGCTGTAATTAAAATTAAGTTTTCATTCGGAATTAAGTCGTAAAATAAAGAACAGTCAGTTTCTGCCTCCTTACTGGCCATGGAGTATATCTTAAGAAAACACTAATTATGAGTGTTCATATAAGCTTGGTCTTCATATGGCTGATTTTCTCCGTGCCCAGCATTTTCTGTTTCAATTAAATATTGCGTATACTCTACAAAGTGAATTTCCAGAATTTTTATAATATTTCTCCATTGAAACACTTAAAATCCATGAAGTTAGGAATACTCTAACTTTAGTAGTCCCATATTTACTGAAACACTTCTGATCTTACTAGAGTTTATGGTAAGTTTTCGCATGCTATGTCTATTCAGTAAACCCTTCATAATACCACCAGCTTTTTGTTGTAATATCTTAGAATTTGAGTTTTCTTTTGTGTGGTTTCCCAAATGTCAGTTGTGTTGGTGCACATCTGTGCCAGTTGCGCGCCAGTCACTTTCGTGCAAGAATGACACATTCTAGTGTCATTGTTTTGATCCGGGCAATTAACTAATATCATAAGCCTGCATATATTACGGATTACATAATTTAGAAAACATGACTAGCGATATGTATGGTTCAACGAGCACTAAAGTGACGCAATGTATCGAATTATGGCTGAGTAGAAAAGACTTGTGTATTTTTCTAAGCCTACACATCTAACTAAATATCATTTCCTTACGCCGTATAGTTCATGCATCTTATTAGCTGCAGAATGTTATCTTAAATCTCACTCCGTCTTATGAATACAACTGGAACAACTCGCCGCTACTTTCTTGTTGAACACTACGACATGCGTTTATGATAGATCCCTGTAAGTTCTTAATTTTATGTTTACTGGAAAAAATTACATCACTTCCAGTCGGTGTAGATTTCTGGGTCGTTTAATCACTCGACTTTCGACTCTAACCTAAGTTCATATCCCGCTTCATTTACTTCAACTTGGCCAAGTGAACAGTGTCAGTCCTCACCTAGTAAGTGTGGGTTATAACCTGGTACACGAGAAGTGTTCTATGCAACTGAGTTTTAACCTCCGATCTGTGCAATAACATATTATTATCCATACTTGTGTGACCTTAGATGAGCCTACCCTTACTTCAGTGTCAGTGTCTGTAAGTATGGTATGTGCTTTGCACCGTCTAAGTGCAAAGTACTGTTATAAGATTGGAGCCTGTACCTGCACTCACTCTTGCGAGTGAACCGCTTGAAGTTGTTGATAAGTTTGTGTATCTGGGTAGTTGTGTGAGTGCTGGCGGAGGAGTGACGGAAGAGATTTCGAACCGTATAATAAAGGCTAGGGTGGCATACATCAACTTGAGCCACCTCTGGCGCCGTCGCGACGTTAGCCTGGTTGTCAAAGGTCGGGTATATAATGTTTCGGTGCGGGCTGTCTTGCTCTACGCCTGTGAAACCTGGCCTCTCCGAGCTGAGGATGTGAGGCGACTCTGCGTGTTCCATCATCGCTATCTCGGCAGGATTGCTTGCATTCGATGGCATCATCGCGTGAGTCATTCTGAGGTTCGGCGGCGTATGTTTGAACACAGTGGAGATCACCATTCATTGAGTGTCGTCATCTGGAAACACCGGCTCCGGTGGCTTGGACATGTACTGCGAATGTCATCCCAGAGGCTTCCGTACAGGTCTCTGTTCGCCAGCCCTGGGACGGGATGGAAAAGGCGGAGGGGTGGTCAGTCCGTGACGTGGCGTCGTGGGATGAAGGATATTTGTGCTAGATTAGCATCGGTTGGTGCGTCACGACTCCCTGGTTGGGGTCCGCGAGATAGCTCGAATCGATCGCTCGAAACGTTATCGGATATGGCCAAGAATCGTAATCAATGGCGAACGTGTTGCAATTTCCTTCTTTCTTCCCTTCCTGATGATAGTTAACGAATACTGTTTGAACTTGTTAAACATGGCTGTTTTCCTTCCAGATGAAGTTCTCTATCCGTTTTCTACTTATATTTTTACTTGTAATCTATGTTGTTTTATTATTATTGTGTGGCGCATCTTTCTTGGTGCCATATTTTACCAAGTTTTTTCTGCGTTTAAATAAATAATCCTATCACAAGATATTATCGTGCTCTTGCTATGGCGTTGGGTGTGTATAGTTTCTCTTAAACGTATAGAGCAATAACACTATACTTACAAATTGTGGTGCTGTCAGTGAAATGTGGGCTTAATGTTAGCTACTATTCTGCAGTGACTCTGTTATGCTCTGCCTTCTTTTCCGCTTTCTGTGACTCTTCTTATAACATGTTTTACGGTCATCAAAGGAATTTATCCGCATCTAAAGCGGTTTCTTTTGTGAATGCTATTCTATTACAAGCAGTTGAATTGTCTCCATAAACATCTTTTTTTTGTTAACTTAACAGGTTCTGTTCTTCCATTGAATACATATATGTCAACGAAAAAACCACCTCGTGCATTGTATATTCCGCCAGCATTAAGAAACAATGTGAACGATGATCTTATCATTTCTAATGAGGTCGGGAAACGATCATCTATCTCAGAATCTTCGATGGCATATGTTTCTGTAAATCAACATACCGATGACATAGAACAATGCTTCAAGTCACTGGAGCTTTCTGATAATTCCACTGAGGTATATAATGATGGCTCCAAGAAGAACGTTTTCAACCCAAAAGTATTATCAAAAAACGAGCAGTCTCTTGATCACAAAACTGAACCACCATTAAAGTTAAGTGATTTTCAGCATATCCTTGAATTGTATAATTTTTCAAAAGATGTTGGAAATTGTCAATTAGAATCTGAACTCGCAGGATTTCAAGATAGTGGATTTTACCTAAAATGGGTGGATGATGAACACTGCTTGGCTGTATTTTCATCTAACGATGAAGCAAATCGTGCACTGGCTCAAATATCAGGACTTTTTATCAAGGTAAAAGCTTTGTGTATTCATTATTAGTTTCACTTTTGGGTCCATATAATCTACTTCATAAGGTTTTTATTAGCGAATTCTTATCCAAACTTATTGTCTGTGAAAGGTGTAAATGGGTGGCGTTTTTGTTGCTGTCGGTGAAAGAATTACAAGCTTGAGCTTAAGTTTTATGGACTACCTAAGTTACTTTTTGCGAAATCTTCCCATATGTCGTATGGTGAAGTCGCTGCCTCCATAAAGTATTCAGTACGGCTGAGGGTGGATAAACTTTGGTCTTCGTCTCGAAATACTCTCATGTGGCCACGCGCTTATAGTCTTTATCAGGTAATTCTTATTGACAGCCTTCATGTGGTGGAGGTGGTCTTCACAAAAGTGGAAGTGCAAACGTCTGGTTCTTATAACTGGACTGGTGGATATGTGTTGATCTGCTTAGGGGAGCTGTAAAACCGTGATTCAAAACCTACAATGTATATGGGCCCCACAACCTGAAAGGATCGATTCACTTTCGTGGAAAACTTTCTGGCCTTCAGGTGGAATCAAGTGTAAGCCAACAGTGGGTCGCCAATTGCCATTTTCTAGACTTCCCGTATTGAGATTCCACGAGATACCCTATTGAATGCCTTAGCAGGACGTGGATGAGGATATTCTCCCTTCAGCATTATGTCCAATTATTTGAAGCAGCCATTAAGTTTGTAACACAGGACAGCTCCTTCCTGAGTTCATGTCACGCTTTGTACAGGATTCTGTTCTAATAAAGATATTTTCTGAATTAATCATACAATGAGCTTTCCATCACCTTTGATATTAATGTGACACTATATAGTGTACACTAAAGGAAATCTTAAGTTTTACATTGATCACACAGTTTGCAAATAATAGTAGAAATAATATTTTCCTTGTTTGTCTCTTGTTGGTCAGTCGGTGTTACCTCCCCTCCTTTATTTATTTTCCACTGACACAAAATGCTTCGTTGTTTGTCTGAAGACATCACTTGATGTACGGTTTATATCTATTTATAGGTAGCACACGACAGGATTACTAGAGATCAAATTATAACTATTTCATAACTTAATACATAAAACTGCATATGATTACTGAGTTGCTGCGTCATTACGGTTGTTATAAAGTATTGATTCACGTCATACAGAAGACTATTCTTGTAAACTCAGTGCACAACTTTGTGAGAACCTGAAACGCAGCATATGTGCAATTATTATTCTCCTGGATTCTGAGTGGAACATATCTCCAGTCTTCTTGTCAGTTTAACGTGTTCCTGTTTTCTCGCCACCCTCCACGGTCAGTCAGATGATCCAGTCCACCACAGTTAAGAATATAATCGGTGCTAGTTGACAGCCTTTTCTTACCATTTTATGCAATATTATTAACTAGGTAGAAGCGGGATAACACTAACTTGCTTTACTTGCTTTACTTCGGCTGTCTCCTACGGGAGGATGAGCCGGCTTCATGAACATCTCGAATCATCGCTGCCCAGGCGCGGCGATCTGATGCAAGGTTTTGCGACAGTTTGTAAGAGAGTTCATGAAGTTTCATGGGAATTTGGTACGAGTGATGTCCCCAGAATCGCTCGGCCCTTTGTTTGAGAGTGCAGCTCTAGCCTTTACACAACCAAGTGTGACCTACAAGGCAGTAGGAGTGGAGTAGGGAGTCCACTATCCATTGGCAGCCGGTGACCGGAGTTCGGTTCATACGCCTTTTTGAATGGAGCCAGACATCCAGGACATCCAACAAGCCCTTTGCCCATACGTCTGCCGGTGAGCTCCAGTGGGCTTCATACGCCAGTCGTTGGAGGTTTGGAATCAGGGTTTAGCCATCTCCCCTAGACTGTCATCCAATGGACAGTCAACCCGGTGAAGAGCGCCAGGCATCCGCTAACATATCCTACTGATTAATTTAATGGCTAAAAACCTATCAGATTGGATTAAATTAATCAATAGTGGGATAGTGGTGATCAAAATAATCAACAGGCATGTGATTCCTTTAGTTTCCAAATAATGCCCTGTAAAACTTGACGTCAAGGTTTGTGCATTTTTCAAATATCTCAGCTGTCTGCTCTGATAACATTTCTTACTGGATTATAAATAATATTACTTTTTTTCAATCTTATCACTGTTTTGAATGTTAGTCATATTATCGGGTTTCATAAATACTCTAAATTGATGTTTATACTTTTCAGTATATATATATATATTCATCACCGTGAATTAATTTAACTTTTAGGCAAGAAAAATAGACGATGCTTCTTTAGCTAGTAAAAAGAAGATTGCACATTCACCTGGTGATTGGTGTATGCCGTATAAAAAGCGCCCATTAACAACTAGTTCAACAGCTCATCGATTAATTTCAAGTCATTTAGGCATTGCGTCGTCTAATAAAAAGAAATCAATTGAAGATACGACGAGGGAAGAACAAAATAAAGCTTTATTACGAGAAGCACGTGGTAAGTCAATTACTTTGTATTCTGCATTCGCTATTTTAATGAATGTGAATGGTTAACATATTCTTGCACTATAAAAGTGGCTTTACGTTCTAACTATTTGGTTTCATTGGGTCATACTCTTTCGGTATATTTAGATATCTGAAGCTGTTGGAAGAACTTTTCTTTGATTAGACACTAACTAGTGTCATGCGTCTAGCTGTTAGTTTGGTGTAGACAATTTTATCAGTCCAGTTTGCAATGCGGCCACCATGCTAAGTGGGTCGTCGTCGCGATGCACTCAAAATTGTTATTGTAAGGTGGTTGGAGAGTTTGTATCTCAGAAGGGATACGAATACCTCCAGGATTACAGATACGCCTTTCTGACGAGTGTCAATAAGCATGAAACCTTGGAGTGAAGTGGTAGAGCACATTGACCGCTTCACTTATTTGGGAAGTTGCATCAGCCAGCCCAACGAGTTGATCACTGACGAAATCTCAGTTCGAATATGCAAGGCTCGGTTTGCATATGCCAGTTTACGCCGTCTCTGGCGTAGACGTGGTATCCGCCTGGTTGTCGACCAAAGGGCGCGTGTACTGCTCAGCAGTCCGCTTCGTCCTGGTTTATGCCTGTGAGACCTGACCATTGAGAGTGGAAGACGTGAAAAGGCCGGCTAGCTGTCTTTGATCATAGGTGCCTGCGTTCTATCTCCCGTGTGAAGTAGTATAATAGCATGTGCAATATTGAGGTTAGGCTTCGGTCGAGTGCTAGGTAAGGAGGGGAAATCAATCGACGAAGTTGTGAAGCCTCTGCATCGATTGAGATGGTTAGGACATGTGTTACGTATGCCTAGCCATTGCCTTCCTCGACAGTAGGTAATGTTAGATGACATGGGGTCAGGTTGGAAAAGAGCCAGTGGTGGTCAAACCAAAATATAGCTTCATCAGTCAATGGAATCCACTACAGTTAGTTCAAACCAGCCACGTAGAAAGGTGTAGACTTCCTGGTTGGTGAAAACCAATGGCTGGAGAAAATTGGTGATATGGCTCAAAATCGTTCTCAATGGCTGGCGCAGATGCATCTACTCCTTGTGACTTATAATTTCGTGCAAAGTTCTATGTCGAAAACCGACCGATAATTTCCAGTAAAACTACATTGTTCTTCGATATTACTATTCTTTTGTCTCATATCTCTGTTTACTGTCTCTGCTTTGCGTTTCTTTTTAGTTTCTTCTTCTTCTCTGGCTTTGTGTGCTAAATCGAGTGTGGCGACTTGAACTGCCGCACATCTGTGCAAAATTCTAGGATGAAACCAGACAGTCAGTCAGGTTTCATGCTTCTTGGCGCTCACTAGTCAGCAATTCTTCTTCCCTCTGAGATTCAAACCAGGGTCGCCCACCGAGCGCAGTGCTGCAGTCAGAGACGTCAACTACCACGGAGTTATTATGGGTCACGATTGACCTCCTGTAGGACTGATTGTATTAAATACTTTGGTTGGACACCAGTTAATAACGAAGGTCTAGACGCATGACATTAGTTTAGTTTGATAACTAGTATCCAATCAAAATATCACTTTTTCTTGTATGCTAAATATCTCCCGCTAAATAGTCCATTTCCGTCTGTTTTTTTAGCTCGTGCAGAAGCAATTCGTCAAGCACAAAAAGCCATATGGGAAGGTGATGACTAAGAAATCAGCGGATAGTGTGTGTAAACCTCTTATTGTTGTACAAAAACTGTCTATCGATCTTGTCTTTATTTTGCTATGCATTATGCATTTTTAACTTGTATTATTTCACTAATTATCATTAATAATATGTAAGCAGATTTTGTCCCATTGGTCCTTGTTTTTTTTCCTTCGGTGATTTTTATTCATCCTATATACATTGGGGTATAATATTATTGGTTAGTCAGTTAACAAATACTATGTCAACTAAACTGTTCAACTGTCATATATATTTAAAAAAAGCAACAACTACAGATTTAGCAGAATAAAATGGTACCATATTTTATTTTGTCGCCTTCTCTTCAGCTGCTTACAGGGCAAAAACATTATTAAATGTATCTACGATAACAATTTAACATACTTACACAGAGTTCATTTTAAACAGAAATCAATCGATCAATGTACACATACACTAATAATATATATATATATATATGCAATATTGAACACAATTCCGAGCAATAATAATCATACAAAATGAAAACTTTTCAGTATCTCGCATTAGGATGAAAAATATCCAGTTACCAGGGCAAAGAAAGACTGATAACTGCTTCTTTCTGAACGCACAAATCAGGTTTTAGGCGCTTGATAGAAAAGGCTTCAGCAAACTAAAGGAGCATTGAACTCTTTTGCTTATTGATAATTTTGAATGACTTTTCGACGTCCACTTCATGATCCGTGTCAAGAAGATGCCTGGCGATGGCACTGCCTAAAGCATTTGTTCCCTTTAGACGTAAGCTTTTTGGTACATGTTCAGAAAATCGTAGATATGCTCTTCTTTCTGTTCTTCCAATGTAACTGCTCCACCGCAGATACATGTAAATTTGTATATACAGTTGGAGTTAACATGAGAAGGATATCTATCGATTTTTGCCCTGTAAGCAGCTGAAGAGAAGGCGACGAAATAAAATATGGTACCATTTTATTCTGCTAAATCTGTAGTTGTTGCTTTGTTTAAATTCATTAAGGGGAACAAATGTATGAAATGTCATATAAAATCACTGAGACGTAATATTTTCAATGGATGCTTATTTTTTTTGTATTTTTGTATTTATTATAAGTAAATTCATTATTTATTGTATGTGATGACATTGTGTGGACATATATTTTTTTTCTGCTGTATATGGGGGTATTGTTTTTGTTGCTCCTCCCCCCCCTCCTGTCTTCTCCGCTGACTGACTTCCATGTTATACTTATTTATTTATCCTTTCTGTTTTTGTTTTTTTCTAAACAAGCCTTTCATAGAGTGAAATATTTTGAAATCTACAGTATTTTTAACGCCTTGAATGATAATAATAATATATCTGAAGTGTAATCATCACTCACAGTAGAGATCCCATTATTCTTATATGTATATATCATCCTAATGTCAACTAGATTCACTCATGCGGCTTTTTATAGTCTGAGTGAGTGAATGAGTTGTGTTGTCCCACTGTGACCTAAACGACAGCTGACTTTCAAATTGTTGTTTTGTGTTGGGTCATGCAGTGTCTATCAACGTTTGAATAGCAACATATCAGCATCAGCCTTCACACAACTAGTATAAATCATTTCTCTCTGTATGTATGTATGTATGTGTGCATGCATACAAATGTTCTCATGGTTACTGAAGTGAACTGTTCCATCTTTTTTATTACCTAAAAGTCTACTATGATATTTGAATAAATGCGGTAAAGTATCATGAACTCACCCTTTTTTTAGTTGTTTTATTTAACCTACTTATTAGTAGTAATGTATTGTGTGTTTTCATTTAAGTAGAGAATTTCCTTATTCTTTGATTTGTAATGAATAATATATGTATATGTATATATATATATATATATATATATATTCCTATCTGTTTTGAAGTTTTGTGTGCAATAGTAAATCTGTCAATGTACCTGCATATATTATTTTCACGTGACTGGTCATATTATGCATGTTTGTTCTTTTTTAAAATGTCTTCTGGTTTAGTTTTCTTTATGGTATTTTTTAAATGTTGCGCGCGCAGTTTGATAACTTCTATTTCTGGGTGTGTGCTCTCAGTAAATAAATCAATAAATTAATTAATTTACATCTGAGTATACGATGTGCTAATTTGAAGCATTACGCAGTTATGCAAGATCGTGTATTTATATCTTATATATATGCTCAGAAATGACTGTTTGATAGGTACTGATAACTGTAGAAGTGTGGTGAGAGCTGGCTGCTAGCCAAATTGGTAGACAGCAATTTACGTCAATGTTTACGTCCCCAATATTGGTCGTGAGAAAAATAAGAACAAAGACGGATTCAACAACCAACCACAGCAGACTTTGCGTAGGCGGATACAGTTAGCGTATAGATGATCTGACATTCAAGAAACAGCCACAAAGAGGTGAAAGATTAACTTTCAGTGAGAAACAACCAATCAGAAGACTGTGTTTTTCTGCTAACAATATTCTTTAATAATCTACATGAAAATCTATAAATATGTATTGATTTCCTTAATAAACGATCTGTTGCCTTGCCCTTGTCTTCTGTTGTTACACTAGTACCATACTCCATATTAGCACAGAAATGGTAGCAAAAAAAAAATTTAAATGAATTATACAGGAAAAAGTATAACTGTATAGAGAATCATGAGAATATGAGGGACGTAGGGGTTCATGAAGATTGAGCCATGTCACCCACCAACGGTTTTCACCCATTAGTTCTTAACGCCTCGAGGATGTCAGCCAAACAGTCTACACCTTTCTATGTGGCAAAAACCATTGATAAAAAATTTTATAGAATGGATGTCAGGTTTTGATTTGATCATCCTTAACTCTTTTCCAACTTAATCATGTGTCAGATAATGCTGCTGGATAAGGAAGCCTGTGGTTTGATATGCATAACACGTCTCAATCTATATTATATTATTTATTTTATTGTTCCCTTGGGTTCCAAGTGGAACATAGGGCTTCAACAATGCATCTCCACTTTGTTCTATTTTCTGCTCTCTCCTTCAGATGGGACGACAACTGTCCATAGTCTCTCATCTCCTCCTCTCCACACGATCTCTTCCATGCCGCCTTGGCATTGACACCCACTTGTCGTTTCCCATTCAGGTTCCACTCGAGCAATGATCTGCATTGCATGCGATGTCATTTAATGGTCTCCTCAATGTATTCCCAATACATCTCCATTTTCTTCTACATATTTATTGAGGAATCAGTTCTTGGTTGGTTTGTTCATCTCTAGAGTTTCTCGTTGCTAATTCTCTCTGGTTGGCCGACCATTTGATCTTCAGTATGGAGCCAGCGAATTGGGAAGCTGTTGATAAAGGTTGGTAACTTGTTGGAAATGGTTTTCTTGACGCGTAGTGCAAGTTTCTTACCCGTATAGATGAACTGGCGGCAAAGTTACACTTTAAGCATACTACTAATCAGCGAATGATTTTGAACGCACCAATCATATGAAGGGGGCGCTTTTGGTCATGGAAAACATATTTAGGAAAAAATGTTTCATAGGATGCCTTTCTGTGACATGTGGTAAAAACATCTCCCAGCTGAGCATATGAGTATCAATTGGAACGTCACACCACATTCTATACATATATTCATCTAAATGACATCCTTTTGAGATCCATTAATGGCCCTAATCCTGTTTCTAACCTTCCCCAAACGCCTTCTATAGAACTGATGTGTGTCCCTGTAATGGGATCCACAAAATCATTAGAATGGTTCACTCTGTAATGAATACATTCAGGATGACAGGTAGTTATAACCATTACACTCATCCACGTGTACGATGACACCTTCTCCTCTTAATAACGACGTAATTCTCTCCATTTTCCATGACGCGATATCTCTGCAGTGCTGGTACCACTGAACTGTTGATAAGAGACTAATTTCCCTATTTCAGCAGCTACACCTGTCACAGGATGTTTTAAAACCCAGTAACTACAAATATACAAAATATGGGTTAAGGACAAGTGGGACCTGGCAAAAAATGTTCCTGAGAAATGTCAGAATCATCAGCTTACCTTCCCTGACATTTGACTCGAATCAAGCGGAATAGAACCTTCAAATCGCGTGGATGAAACTCATTGGGCCACTCAAGTCATTCACTGATTTGTAGTTAGTGGTGCCTACAGTTTAACTTGTGCGTTGGTGGCACAGTGGTTAGGATGCTCGCCGACCATGCACATGGTCCGGAGTTCGATCCCCGGCCGACGTACCCCTTTACCTCGCTAAGCTAGTAATAAGACTGGTGAAGAGGGAAGGTTGGGCATGAGGCCAGCAACCCCATCCCGTAAAAATAAACTCTGCTACAGAAACTTCAAGCCTCTAGCTTGAAGCCCTATGCTCCAATGGGTACTTGAAGGAATAAAAAAAAAACAGTTTAACTTGGCCAAACTGGCTTCATGGTTTTGTTGAAAATTCGAATCTTTTTCTTTATGCTAACTGAGTGCATCATATTTCCAAATTGATTTCAGATTGATGAAGGTATACATTGCCTTCCCGATTTTGGCTGGTTTTGACATCCTCATCCGTTGCACTGGCCTGTGCTTGACACTGTGCTTCCTAGATAAGTGAAGGAAGTAACCTCTGTCAAATCTCTCCCGTTGATGGTGATTAGTGCTGTTTGTTGTTGTTGCTGTTTTTCGGTTATCTTTGTCACCTCCGTGTTCTCTATGTTCACCTGGAGTCCTGTCTTCGCTGTCAGCCCCTCCAGTCAGTTTGTTGGTTTTCGCATGTAGGTCTTCGAGTTTGTGTGACACTAAACATAAGTCATCTATCAAGTCCAAATCTTCTAGAGCTATCTTATCGATCCAGCTTATTCCTGTCTTCTCAATCCTCACTCATAGACTGATGCATTATCCAGTCCACTACGGTTAGGAATATCATCGGTGATAATAGGCAGGCAGCCTTGTCTTACTCCTGTATTCCCTGAAAAGGCTTCACTGAGTTTTCTGTTGTGGATCACCTGACAAGTGGCACTGTCATATAGCCAGCTGTTGAATGAGGTTGATAAAGATCTGGGCACTGCAAAGCACAGTGTTGAAGTAGTTTCCAAATTACTTCTCAGTCAATGGTGTCGAAGGCGTTTCCAAAGTCGATGAAATTGAGGTAGAGTCTCGATCTATGCAGCTTCATAACTTCATCGATTGATTTTCTCTTCTTGCCTAAAAATCAACGCCTAACCTTACTATCACTCACAATATTATTCCTCACTTAACACTGGAGATATGACGCAAATACCTACGGTAAAGGACTGCTAGTCTCTTCAAGTTTCCCACCGTAGATTGTCACATCTATCGAGATGGACAGAGCAAACTGCTGTGGAGTCCATTCCAGAGTTGGAAAACTGTTTTATCCGTGCTGAGATTTCGTCAGCGATCACTTCATAATATGTGATAGAACTCTACTAACTTAAGCAGACTGGATGGAGATGTAGTTCATTGGCTTAATCGTTCTAATGTCAGTCATAGGATCCCAGTTTTGAGTCCCAGTGCACTTCCTTTAACATGGAAAATTGGGTTGCATCATTAGCCCTCATGCACTAAATGTGGTTCATAGCCCAGTTCTGGGCAACTGAGTAGTAGTTAACTAACGTAGCTGACTGGATATTGTGCCACAATTCCTTTGGTTGGTTGTTACTGTAGATATCAGATACGCGTTTAATTTATTTGTTTCATAAATTAAGACTGGTTCACCAAGTTAGAGGCGTATCAACTTCATAGCTGTCTGTTTCCTATCTGTTCAGTCGTACGGCATATATTTGCATGAACTAGAGTGTGATCGGTGTCTACAAAGGTGTTCTTCTGTGTATTTACCCTTTTCGAACCATCCCAAATGCCGAACGCCGTCAGTCATCCGGGAAAGGAGTAAGGGTGCGCCTGCTAGCAACTGATACAGTCCCAAAGCAAACTCCCTGAGACGGCTCTTCATCATTTTTCTAATATTAACATCTCAGGACACCCTTGGTGCCACTCCTCCAGCTGGTAGGAACAGGAACATCCTCTCAGGGACACATGCACATTGGAGCCAACCAAACCTTGACTCATGGCACAAGATCCCAACCGCCAAGTCACAGCATAAGACACTGCTCGAGACTGGCCTCGGCTAACAACCACACCAAGCTGCACCTCGCGGTTTGGGTTACCAGCTCTAAAAGCCACCCACTAGCCAGTTGTTATTGGCCCCACTCCCCTCGTCAAGAATCCCGCAGATCTACTGGCCCCGCCGATGCCTCGCACACCACCATAAAGGCCAAAGGACGACACCGCTGCTTCATCAAGACTGAGTAACCAGACGTGAATGTTGTTTCATGCAAGCGACAGGTCTTTGCTGGAGCTTGGTTCGCCCGCCGATAAGCCCCACCCAGCGGTCGCCACGAGGAGGCGCCTGCCGCATATAACCATAACCCTCGTCCCGCCATTTCCCATGCCCGGTTGAGTTTCTTCACGTTGACACTCTGAGAGCTGGACGGAACTTCCTAACCAAATGTAGACTTAACAAGAGAAGCCAATATTGGAAAGCACCCGGTGGTCTAAGGATGTCGGTCCTCGCACCGCATGCAGGGCCTCCTTGCAAAGCCTCTCATTAGATGATATATATATATGCATATATTTGATAACTAGAGTGTGATCAGTGTCTACAAAGGTGTTCTAGATTGAGTGACAGTTGTCTATCTACTCCTTTTACCCTTAGCTTATTATTACGTGGTCTACTTGACTTCATCGTTGATTTCATGATGGAGGTCTCTAGGTTGGACAGTGTATGTCCTTATGTTGTAGTGAATGCTGATGGAGAAGATATTGATTATCTGAACAGTACTGTAGATGACAGTCACCGTTGTCAGCGTGGGACAGCATAGGTGGCAGCAACATAGTTTTCTGACTAGTGCAGCTTCCCTATTTGAGTAGTGAAATAAACTGCTAAAGTGGTCTTTTACTTTTGATAGCAAACTAGACGGCTTTTGGTGGAACTCATCCTTTACTTCGAATTGCACTAGTTTGGTGGAGAAAGCAGACATTATGGAAAGACAGCGACAGCTATCTCAATGTTTCCTTCTGACGGATCTGGACTATCCACTGGAGTTGGACCAAGTGAAAATGTTTCTGCCCTAGCACTCAGTGCTATTCTTACACCAGTAAGTCCATACGAACTAGCCGGAAAATTTCCCGTGAGGTAGACTTTGTTGATTCACTGTGTAGGCCAAGTGGGGTTAGGTGAATAACCAGAGTTCTGGCTACTGATATCTGATTTGGCATAGGGTCTGGATGTTGAATGCTGTAGTATGAAGTTGGCAGTGTAGTGAAGATATTATTAGAAGCTTAGAAATGAAATAAAGCCAAAGAACAGATTATAAGTATATGTTATTTTTATTATTCGTCCTTTGGGTCCCAAGTGGAATATAAGGCTTCAGAAAATATTGATTTTTAGTAGTGGTGAAAATCAAAGGGGCTGGTGTAATCGTCGTAGTTACATCTTTAGACTTATACATTTCTATTAGTATGATAGAGGTGTAATTATAATTGCCTCATTCATATACTCATTTGAAAATCACTCACATTAACCAGTTACAATTGCTAGAAGGATAGAGGTGATCTAAGCACTGGACAATTGCTTCGCTCGTTTAAGGTCAGGTTGATCAGGAGTTGATACGAATTGATTCTGCTTAGAGTAACGAACAAATTTAAAACAGAAAACAATACACCATCTATCTATTGAACAATATCCTACAATACCTTTTAGTTGTATGTAGTTGCGCTATAGTCAATCATAGTCGATTTTATAACTCAGGAATAATACTTATGTCAGCTAATTCTATCGAATTACTTTGTAGGGTTATGTAGTTCTCAGTATTCTCTTAAGGTATGCCTGTGAAAGTTACCACCCACTGTATAATTTCACACGATGATGATCAAGGCAAGATTGCCTACATGAATATCTGAAATGGCTATGAGCTTTCATTTCCTCCTCACACTATTTCCTCTATATCACCATCAAACCACCGCCCAACGTATCCTTTCTCATTTGGATTCTACTCTATGGCTTCGAAAATGATGTCATTCAGCAGTCTCCATAGTGTTTGTGAAATCCGCTTCCATTTCCTTTTGCAGATATCTGTTGATTCGTTGCCAGAGATCTTTGTTGCTTATCCTTTCCAAACGGTCATCTGATCTTCACCATGGAGTGAAATCAACTTTTGATGCAAATCTGTAACAGATTGTTCGAATTACTTTTCCTGACGAAGATGCCATATAGAATCACTGACTTGTCAATCGGGTTGACAAATCTAGATCTCAGTATAAGCGGAGATCGTTTTGGACATATGCTGGAACTCGAATATGAAACGACGAGCTTGGTCAAAGAAACTGTAGAGAAGAATAGCAATACATGGAGATATTTCACCAGGAACATTCAGTTTATTCACAATGCGCATAAAACGTCGGAAGTACAAAAAAAAATACCATTGAATGAACATAAATGAAATATTATTTTATTATTTACTGAATAGAAAACACATTGTCTCTTAATTATTATTTGTTACATTTGTGATGAGGAAATAACAATAAGAAAATAGAGATGTCAGTTGAGTTAATCAATTTGATAGAGAGAGAGAGAGAGTAGAGAGTTAACAAATCACACTAACCATACTTATTCATAAATAAATAATAAACATAGTAGAATTGAATCAGTTCTATTGTTGAGGATGGTCATAAAACCTAAACTAAACTTCATATTTTTGGCTGTTGCTTTTAGAAAATAAATGATAATCGTTTACAACAGTTTGAAATAATTGGAGAAACGCTCACAAAAAGAAGAGAACTGTAAGGAAAAAATGGATGTTTAGAAAAATTAACAAAAAAAGCAACAAACAAACAAAATATGAGAGAAGTAAGCAAGAATTAATCATCAATGATTCCAGTATAATTATTTAACGAAGTTCCTTATCCATTAGATAAACTGCGCTAGCATCCAATCGTAGTCTAGATCTCATTTCTCTTAACTTACTAACAGAATCAACTTGTTCTTGAAGGAATTCATCCAAAAAGTCTTGGGTCTGTAAAAAGGTAATAATAATAATAAAAACAACATTAAATCAAGGTTTAAAACATTCTTGGGTAAAAATACAGTTTTGTGGAATGATATCAGTAGCTGTCTAAGTGATGTCCATCTTAAAATTTAGTCTAGTTCTCATCGATCTAAACTCTTAGTTTTCAAGTGTTGATTGGCAGGGATTTGATTGACTTCAAGATTGGTCGGGAGTTGATTTCACTTGGGGGAAGCACTGAAAATCAAGGAACACTGGATAGCTTTTTCATTCTTGTTTGGGATGCTTCAGCAGTACACGCACATTTCTACCATCCCATCAGGGATCAAAGCCAAACCCTTCATGTGTCCATTGAGTCACATGGGCGGAACCCAATGGCCCCTTCATTCTACTAATTCTCACTATATATTGCGAATGCCATAGTGGGTTCGAACCCCGGTGGGTGCGTACTGATGAAGAGTCTCAGACTAGGACGAAACAGCTGTCCAGTACTCCCAGGTTTTCCAGTGGTTCTCTAACTGAGGTCAGCTCATGATGAAATCCTCCATGCAATGCCATAGGTGCCTACTGATGAAGAGTGGGAAATAGCTGTCCAGTACTCTTTGATTTCCAGCGGTTCTCTAACTGAAGTTAGTTCGTGATCAGTCTTGAAATCTAAGCTTTTTTTTCTCTGATCGTACTTCATTACTTTATTGAGTGATATGCAGGATATAAAATGGTCCAAAACATGGATGAAATAAATATTTTAACGATTGCATCAATTAGTTTGGCAGGTTGATCGTATTGTGATCGTATGGATATTTCAGGTGACAGAAACGAAAGTAAAGGTAAAAATTTTAATCGATACACCCTTTTTATCGGGTGGAGTCTCTAACGCCAACCTGTAGTAATTCTATTTTATTCTCCAAGCCTAAATTTATATTAAAATGAGGAGACATTCATTTTACAGTTAGTATATTGATGATGATTAGTGGATTTTTCAAAACACGATATATACACATAAAGTCTAGAAACCGCCCTTATCGTTTGCAGCAAGATTTCCGAAAATCACTCTGTCTCGTGAAGTAAAAGATAAACAAAATCCACTCATAGAGCTATGCTATCTCATCTTGTGGATACAGAACACAAAACTGATGTCAACGAAGCTTTCAAAGTCATTTACTGCATATCAACTAATCTTAACTTCACCTAAAGAGTTCGTTTACTAAATATTGCTGAGGCCATTGGGATCCACATTAAGAAACTTAACTTATGTATCCAAAAGAAGTTCGTCCAGACACTGTCCTTACCTTGGTCATTAAGGTTTTAATGATCCTCAATTTGTTGTGGAAATTTTCTTAATTTTATTTGATATTCTATTTGCTATTACATTTTTATGCTTATTATAACTTATGCTTCTTTCTTAAACTGTAATTTCGTTGATTTTCCTAACAAATCGATATTATTTAAAAAACTCCAATATTGTTAATGCCGACTATTCTAGAATGTTTTGGGTATGTAAACATATATATATAACTGTGGAGCCAGAAGAGGAAATTATCGAAAAGGATATTCTTTGCTCAATTTTTTTTTTTCTAGATATAATCTTGTTTATGGTTTGCGTACTGCAGTTCAGTTGATAATTCCAAGGCTTACAAGGCACCAGAAATTGATTTGTTTTCTACGTTATCATTTATTGATCGTAATGTTTGATTTAAGATCATCTTCGTTATAACAATTTCCTTTTATTCTGAAAAATCTGAGTGATGAAATCATTAAAGCCCAGGCTGTGTTTTACAACTCCTTTGGTATGCTAAATGATTTACAGGACTTAGCTTTTGTTCAAGTTCCACTTTTACCTGAGTCATAGGGGTAGAGAAATCAAAGGCGAGCTGATGGATTCCAGTTGGGTCTCGATTCACCTTTTCAGACACGATTGTGACTACATTTGTATGCTTACAGATACATTTTATCCGTCGATGAAATAATAAGTATCACAAAACTGAATTGACTTAAAGTCAATAGTTCAGCTCCCAAATATTTTAATTATAATTCAGACAGAGAAGATACGATAAGTTAGAAGAGGACTCACCAGATTACCATACACTGACCTCTTTATTAAATACACATGCTTTAAAGTAAATACATGCATATAATATCTCACTTATCAGTGTTTTTAATATTAGCCTAAATAGACTACTCATTAGTAGTTTATATATTATCCACAAAATAGTTACCGAAAGTTTAGATTTTGAGTCTTTCAGACGTATTTTAATTGATTTCAATATATACAAAGTTCGTCACGAACAGAAATAAGTTGGAGAATCATTGAAAATCAGGGAGGACTGGACGGCTGTTTCGTCCTAGTTTGGGAGTATGCATCCACGAGCACAGCAGGGATGAAACCTAGAGCCATCAGCTTATGATGCCTGCTAGTTAACGATTCTGTCACTTCTTGAGAAATTTAATGACTTGTGAATTTTAACTTTTTATACTAATCTAGGAAACTTCAATGAATAAATCATTTGTTAATTTATTAAAAATACCGCAAACCCTGACGCTAATCTCTTTTTTATAATGCCATGCATTATTTATATTTAAACTGATAGTTAAATTATACTGTGTATCGATTAGAATTTTAGCTTGACATTCACTTTTATACAATTCAAATGAATTATTTCATAATGAAATTGATACTTTCTCACAATTAGGTTGTCCACATGAAAAAAACGTGTTCATTCTAAATTCTTAAAAAGATGATGATCGGTACAAATCAGTGGTAAATTAAAGACATTTGATGGAATATCAAATAAAGTATAATTAAATATTCTCTTAACCAGTTAGCTGGTTGTCTCTGTTATGATTACTGTTATTTTATTGCCAGTCTGTTACACAAACCTTCAAATGGAAACAAACTTCTAAAGGCTTCACATTTCGCATAAGTGAAGATAACACAGCTTATTGTTCTAGTCAACAGATGAGTCTGTGTTTTTTCTCAAAGAAGTATTTAATCACGGATTTTGTAAGAATTTGAATTAATCTTAATGCAGATTTCGTTAAGAACCGACATCACTTAATAACCAGAGAACAGTGGACATCTGTGTCCTCCTGGTTTTGGAATCTACAGCAGTGTACACCTAAGAGTCCACCAGGGTTTGAATCTCCGTAACCTGGAGCTACCGATTCCGAGTGCTGATTGGCTGAGGTAAGGGAGAAGTCCAGCGCATCCTGACTTTCAATGATACTCTGGATTAAATTGATTCATGACTTCAAAAAATAATAATTAAAACTATATAGAGGATAGTCTGTTGTCTTCAAATCCGAAATATAGTGTTGTTATGGTATATTTTAGATATGAAACATGTTTATTCAGTTGAAAATGGTTAAAAGTGGGATCCAGGATTCACGTTTCATCCTACTTTGTGATTTTTCAGCTGGATGTATCAAAATTACAGTAGGTGGGGATGTACCCACTGAGACATGAACCTAATGCATATTTTAAAATCTGTCATCTGGAGATTCAGATTAATTTCAATAAAGTGTAAGAAGTCTGCCTAAGAAGTAAAATAATCTACCATTTCATCCCAAACTGTTCATCATTTATAATAATTTGATGCAGTGACTTAGTGTAGATCCATGTATGAAACCGGTAAAAGAAAGTGGCAGCAAATGGAGTGAAATGACGATGTGCTCCTGAATCCCTACATTCTGCTAGGTAGGAGAAGAATGACAGTATGATGAAGCTAGAGGAGATTGACCATAAGGCTATCAGCTTTAGAAGTCAGCATGTTATCTTGTAGCCGGTGGGGAGAAATTCAATCACTCAGGTTTTTTAAACTCTTTCAGTTTACTGCCATCTAATATCATGGGACAGTAATGATTCCAAAATCTCACAATTTGGAATCAATAAGTCAAGCCTTCTTATGAAGATTTAAGAGAAGTCACTCTTCATTAGTGACTATCTACAAAACAGTATTGACAATTAGGTATGTTTATGAAACAAGGTTTTAGCACGCTTCTTCTTCTTCAGATTTCTGGTTTACGGAGATTCGATCATATTTAATATAAATGTCGTTACAAAGTGAAGCTGGTTAGGAATTCGTCGAGAAGAATTTTACACCCCATATAAAGAATGTGAATATTAATCTTCTGCTTATATGTGATTAGCTTCAGAACAAATACCCTGAAGTAATAATGAGCGGCTGGGTGGATAAGATCCATCTAGTCTATAGTGTAGTGAATGTTCATCACTCGTATTGGTTGGAGGCGATGCTATATTGCGGACTGTAGAATGTTAGAATTAATGAGTTATCAGATTCCAGAGCACTGGCTGGATGGTAACATGTTCCCTGCGTAAAATGAAGATGCTATGATCTGTCCGTGAGAAGGCCATGGGTTTACACTGCCAAGATGAATTACTTAATCAGCGAATCTTGGTTTTCAACGATTGTGTTGATTCAGTTAGTGTCTATTAGTTTACTTTAATTTAGTTACCCAGGACATGTTTTCCTTGTGCTAGGCTATGAGCAATACATTTTGTGATGGCAGATGACACTACCCACTTTCCCAGGCTAAAGCAGATGAAGAGGGATTCCAAATCAACCAGTCAGGTTTCTGCAAGTGTATACTAGGAAGATAAGTGGCCAACTACATAAGGAACTCCAATGAAGATTAAAATGAAAAATAAAGAGAATGAAATGATGTCGTTTAGTTTAATCATGAAAAATATTGAGTTGTATATCATAAGATACTGCAGAACTAGTGAACCTTGACCCCAAACTACTTTGATTTTAGGTCAAACTGAATAAAGGGTATGCAAACTATAGGTAAAAGAAAAATGTGTTAGGGACAAGCAACAGCTAAAATTAACTAGGGTAGTACGTAGTTAACCAAAATGATCAAATCATGTGATATTGTAACTAACTCAAGTGATCTGAAGTCAAAGGTCAAACAAAATAAGCAAACATCACGTAATAAAAAAGTAGGCAGTTAGTTACTAAGTGAATCACAAACTGATTTGACAATTTTTA